TATCTTCCCTGGTGAGAGTAATTTCCAAACTAGAAAGGATAAACAAATAACGTAAGGAGATTACTGACGTTCTAAACAGACAGAGACCCTAAGAGACACTTAGCTGCTTCAAATGAGTGTAAGTACCCAGACCCAGAAGAATGAGACGCATCAGTATTAAGCATCATCAATGGCTTACATTCGGAAACAAGCTATAATAGTAAACAAGCTATAATAAAGTAGCCTGATTTGGATGGAATTTGTTGACTTACCACTAAAGGGGTAATTAAAGGAAAGCCATAACCAAAAGATAGTGTAAATTTAAAAAGGCAGTGGATAAAGTACTCCTCCATATTATTCTCACAGGTATATTGGAAAGAAGTAGCTGACAGTTCTGTTAAGTGGCTTCAATGGTGGCAGAAACACCACCCATAAAGACTGCTACTTTTAGGTTTGTGCTAAGCCAAAGAGAGGTTCTTTAGAGATCCATCATGGTGTGTTGAATTCCAGTTATAAAAAACATGCTTACTAAATCTACAGATGATGCAGAGAAGTGACTCTGTTGGAAAATAGACTTAAGAGACACGAAGATCTAGATAGATTATAAATATAGGCTAAAGCAAATAAGATGAGATGTAATAGGAATAATTTAAGTTCAAGCAACACATTTACACGTACCACATAGGGAAAGCATGGCTCCACCTGTCATGGAAAAAAAGAATACCTAGAAGTTTTGAGTATCTGCTCAATGTGAACCAATGCCATTATACCGCCTAGAAAAACCTGACCTGTATTAAGGTAGGTTTTAGATCAACAATAATAATAATGTGATAGTTTCATTGTATCATGTTTTAAATAGCTGCTGTTTTATTTTCATTTTTATAATATGTGTCCATTGTAGAATCCTGGAAAATGCACATAAGGGAGAAGAAAATAACGATCACCCACAATTCCACCACTCAAAAATGAATACAGTTTACATTGTGGTCTTGATCATTCCAGACTTCTTAATGCACATTATAAATGTTCACACACACTTATTTTTTTTTCTTAAAAAAAGTAGGATCGTACTACACATGCTATTTTGTAACCTGTTTCTTTGGTTTTGCTTTTTTAATTCAACAGTACATCGAGCCCCAATGTATTCTACATTGGTCTAATGACAGCTAGCGCATTTTGTCCACTTCTGCTCGCTACACTTCAAGAGAGTCATTGCAAACTTTGAGAATATACAAAGAAAGAAAAATAGAGCAATAAAAAGTATGAAAATCTAAGTTCGCCTAATCTGTAATGCCACATGACAAAAAGTTGCTGGAAATACGGTACTTCCATGAAAAAAATATAGAAGTTTTATAAGAAAACAAAATAGCTAAATGCATGCACCTTAAGAACTGTCCTGGCAGATAAATTAAACTAATACCAACTGCTGGAAATTAAAGGGAAGTGGATTTCAACTCAATAAAATGAATTTTTTAAGTAATTTTAGAGCTTTCAAAAATGGAACAGATCTAGTCACTGGAGGGCTTCACAGGGCTGGAGTAACTCGCTGGTAAAGGATGTTAGAGGTAATTCCTCTAAGTGAGATGCTGAATTAAAAGGCCCCATGCTATTTGACGATTCTGTGATTCTAATGGAAAACCTACCACAGAAATTTACTCCCAGTCCATAGTCATTAAGGTCTTAAGAAATAGAGTCCAGTGCTTTAGAGATGCATGAGAAATTCCAATAACACTAATGGTGAACACCAATGTGCTAAATGACGTGCATTCATTGCTTAACATCTCATTTAATCCTTACAACAACGCTGTATGGTAGGTGCTATTGCTATTCCTACTTTATAGAAGAGGACAGTAAGGCTTGGAGCAATTTTATATTTATTCAAGGTCATTCTTACTTTTGCTGAAAAGTTCAGCTGTCACCCAAGAATACCTGACTCCACATCATAATAGCCACTGCTCACTTAGTAGGCAATATGTAATCAAAAGCATCTTCACACAATTTCTTTTTTTTTAAATATATTTTATTGATTTTTTACAGAGAGGAAGGGAGAGAGATAGAGAGTTAGAAACATCGATGGAGAGAAACAATATGTAATCAAAAGCATCTTCACACAATTTCTTAACTGGTGATCCCTCAAAGGGCAGTGATGAGATTTTTTTTAATTAGAAAAAAATTTAAGGTTTTTTAATTAAATTATGCATAGCAAAAAAATATTCAGATACACCTTAAACTTTTGAAAATAAAACATTCAATGAATTACACATAAGATGTAGTGGAGCAAATCTGAATCACTTTACTTCACATCTTTGCCAGTACTAATTATGGGACCTTGGGCAAGTTCTTGGTCTTCCTATCTCTTTGGTCCTTCATCTGTGAAATGAGGATCGACCACTTAAGGTTGACATAGAATTGAATGAGACAACACACGTAAGATTTTCACATAGGATCGAACACTACTATTACACAACACAAGTAATAAATGGTGGGGAGAGACAGCCCTATTCCACAATTCATTCCAAAATATTTTAAAATTTTGAAGGGTCATCATGTTTGAAGTGGAGAGGGTCACATTTTCCATTATCCTATAAATAAATTTCTGATGACAATCATTTATGAAATAAAGTGACAACTAAATAAACCGTGCCTTCTCTCAGGAATTCCATTTTATGCAAATGATCACCCGAAGAATACAAGTTCAACTCCCATTTTCTTCAAAGACACTGTTTTAGTTGTTTATTCAGTATGAGGTAGAAAAGTGCAAGTTTAAAGGTTACTGGGTTTGATTCTGATTTTTACAACTTGGTTCACACTGCTCTAATGAGCATGTTTTTTTAGTTTCATTGTTTTCTACGTGCATTCTTGTTGTAGAGTTACTGCTACTACCTCTGAAAGACAGCAAAATAGAAAACCTCTCATTCAAGAGGTACACTGTGGGTCACAATTTTGAGATTTAATGTTTACTAACATTAAATAGTTGGTATTATATTCCTAAAATTTGACATCTATTCTTTCTAAAAATGGCACAAACTACAGCGGGAAGGGCCGGGGAGGGTTGGGGGGTGGGTAGAGATCAACCAAAGGACTTGTATGCATGCATATAAGCATAACCAATGGACACAAGACACTGGTGGGTATGGGATGCTAGGGGAAGGTCAAGGGGAGAAAAAGAAAGGAGACATATATAATACTCTTTGTAATACCTTAAGCAATAAAACAATTTAAAAAATGGCACAACTGAGAAAGTATTTCATAGATATCTGCTGATCACAAAAACAGGCTTTTTTTTAACTATCTCAATGAAATTAACTGGAGTTCTTCCTGTTCTCAAAGAACTCTTTAATGTTATTCCAAAGGAACTGATTATTTTTAGAAACCTATTTTAACCACATAGGTTTCTAGCCATATTCAATGTTATAACTGATACGTCACTCTGGCAAAAATTTATTTTACCCGCAACTTAAAACTGTAACCAGATATCTGCTTTTGTATACATTATCTGTGACTAAGGACACTTACTGGAGCTATAATATAAAATATGTACACATTATCTACTTGTGCATGGAAGTGAAAATTATTTAACAAGGGAGTGGAGTGTACACAGGAGTCATCACTTCTAAGACCTACTGAAAAAACATGTCCCACAAACATTCATTGTTCTGAAGTGAACTGTCATTCCAATAAAATGTCACTGTCAACAAGTATAGATGTTCACTTACGGAGCTTTTTTGAATCCCAGCAACTATTTTCCAACCAAATTCATTTCACTGTAACACGAATGTTTTCATTTTCCCTATTAGCCAGGACTGCAATTAACTGCATTGTCTGACCACTACAACATATGAGAACTGTATTTAGAAAACACTGTTATCGTCCAAAAGTTTGTATTAAGCACATGTTAGGAGTAGCACAGAACAGCTTTTTAAAACCATGAAAATCACTTGGGCTTTTAATTTTTTTTTTACAAGTACAGCTGAGTTGCCTAAGAGATGGGGTAAAGATATGAATAATGCCTCCCAGAATATCCAGGATACGTGGAAAGGCCATGATTTTAGAAACTAAAGAGCTTTCCTTGAATTTTATCTAGTGACTACTCTCCAGGCGTCCTTCCTCCCAACTGATCTCATTTGTCCATCAATTCAACTTTTGCCTTCTGCAAGAGAAGGCAGCAGCAGCCAAAGGCTGTGGCTTTTGCAGGGTAATTGCAAACCTAAGTCAACAGTTTTTTAAATGTGTAAATGATCCCTGCTATTTCTAAAGCACTGCTTGCTGAATAAAGACCTTGACATTTTTTTAAAATGTCATCCTAGAAAGATTCTCCAAGCGGTATCAGCCTCACCTGAAACATCTGCACATTAAAAGGCCTCTACCATGTTCCAAATACAGTAAGTATCCCAATCCTGAGATACAAAATAACTAAGTTTCCACTCAGCTATATCCAGGTAACAAAGTACTGCTGGGCTGCCTCATCAAGTTCTATCCACACCCTGTACTGATGCCATCTCACCGAAGGCTCACTTTCTTCATCCTGTGGGCTCATAACCCACAGCAGAGCAAATGCCTTCTGCAAGAGCAGGTAGCGGCAACCCAAGGCTGTGGCTTTTGCAGGGGTAATTGCATTCACGCTATAGCTTCTCTGCCAATCTCATTTAAATAGATACACACGCACACAACAAGGCTGGGTTCGAGGCTGAAGCTAGAGAATAAACACGGATGGAGAGCAGGTGGAACACCCATTTCCTTCCAGCAACACTAGCCCATGTCCAAGTTCTGCACCACGGCTCTGAGAAAAGTAGCTACTGGCGCATTGATGGAAGGCTATTCTAAAATTACTCCAAGAATCCGAGGCGTCCATCTGACCGGGAGGCTCGAGCAGGCTCCTCTCCATCCACACACACTGTGTCCCTGTCTAATTTAAGAATGAACCGCTGGCCGCCAGCAGGTGCCGTTACCCCGAGGAGCAGCGCGTACCCATCACCCTGCTTCAGGAGGGAGGCAATCCCGGAGCGGGCGCCCGTCCTTACCTGAGCAGATTCGACAGGGGCAGGGGTCCGGATCCACCGCCCAGGATCCCTCCTTTCCTGCCAGACAGGAGTTTCTCCACCAGAGCCACGTTGCCCGTGCGAGCCGCTTCCAGCAGCTCCTGGTCCTTCCCCATAGTCTCTACCCGACTCCTTTGCGGAGTCCTTTCCCCCTCCGGGCCCTTCTCCCCGCCCACCCCCCACTCC